ATCTATCTCCATCTCTAGTTCTGTTCTATATAAAGAGAATAAACATTAAAAAGTGCAGAGCTAGCTAATTATGATCATTTTTATTAATTATGCTTAAATTATCAATTTATTGCATTGACTGATTTTGCTCAAATTTTTTTCCATATCTCAACTTTTATTTTGAAATTCGTGCTTAACATTGTGCCAAAGCTTATCTTTCCAAAATATTTCATCGCAAGACAAGTTAAATATGGCCCCTTCTGCAAAGGGATGGACAAAGTGTAACCTTTAACCTGCATTAAACAATTGATTTTTTGTGATAAAAGGCATCATCTTTCTTTAAATTATGCTTCACTTCATCCACAACCAAAACTGTGGATTAGAATCCTGGGACTCTCTTGCTAACGGTTCTGTGGGTGTACCCGCACCAGTCGAACTGCAGTGATTCCAGAAGGTAGCTCACCACTTCTGAAGACATTTGGTAACAAATAGTGGCATTGCCAACAAAGCTTACATCCCACGCATGAGTCTTTGAAAATCACCCATTTCAATGTCTGTTGTATATGCCAGTCTAAGACTGAGAAGTGTCAGGGCAATCTGCAAGCAAACATTTGCTTTTTGTTTAGCAAATTTCCAATATATCATAGCTAAAATCAAGAATTCACTCTTTGAAAGACTGTTAACACAAATTCACTGCACAGGACATTTAGCATCTCAATAAACTGCACGATCATGTTACATAGGTTGTTGGAAATATTAAACAAGCCAGTATTCTAGGATATACAATTAACATACTTTTCAACCTTGGCTTTAATCAATCACTTAGTTACTTCTGGTAATCCAACAACGTCTTGCATTATATAGCAACTTTAACATAGCAACATGTCTCGAGGTGCATAAAAACAGCATTAATTAAAAACATACTACCAACTCACAGAAGATGACCAAAAGCTTTAAGAAACACCTTAAAAAGGAGACAAAATGGGGGAGAAAGGGTGGTGACACTGAGGAAGGGATTTCCAGAGGTTAGGGCCAAGGTAGATGAAAATATGTGAAGCAATGATCAGGGATGTGCAAGATGCCAGAATTGAAGGAGCACAGGAGTCTCAAAGGCTTGCAGGGCTTAAGGATATTTGCAGAGATAGAATGAGGCAGGGCCTTGAAGGGATTTAAAAATAATGATGAGAATTTTACATTTTAAAAATTAGACCATTGTCAGAATGAAAACCAGTGTAGGTCACAATACAGGGATGATGAATGAATCAAGCTTGGTGCAAATTAATGGGACTAGAGTTTAAGGGAATCAGCACAATGGGAGTCTGGCTAGAAGGACTGCATGTAGTTGTTGGGTAGGCAACTCTACACTGTATTTGTACAACCCTAATTTAGCTTGTAGTTGAAATCAACAGTTTAAATTCTGTGACAACAAGGTGCAGGGCTGGATGAACACAGCAGGCCAAGCAGCATCATAGGAGCAGAGAGGCAGACGTTTCGGGCCT